TATTTTACCTCACGAATTGAACCAATTTTTAGAAATTTTTGAACTTCCTCTTGAATCACCTTATTTTTGAAAGTTCCTTGCTTTCTTTTCTTTTGCTTGACGGGAGGATATGATGGATCTTCATTCAATTTATGAGTCATGACTTCCGGTGGTATCCCTGTGATGTCAGAATGGGACTAAGCAAAACAATCTGCATTAGCTTTTAAAAATTCAATCAATTTACGTTTTACCTTCGGGCTAAGATTAGCTCCTATGTAGACTTTTCTCTCGGGCCAATGTATAAATAACACCACGGCCTCTAGCTCTTCTATCGTTGTTTTGATGTTCTCGTTCTCCTCCGGTTCTTGAATGGTATCAGGTCTCGAATCCACATCTGTTTGCTTTTGCTCAGGTGAGGTTGACACCGTGTTACCCTCACCTAAATTCTGTAATTGCTATTTGTCTTCACCCTTAACAGTTGAATCTGCAATGGAATTGATGCTTCTAGATGTTTGTTGGTCGCCTCTGATTTGGCGTATTCCCCATGGAGATGGAAATTTAATAAATTGATGTAAAGTTGAAGGAACAACTTCCATGTCATGAATCCATGGCCTCCCAAGAATCATATTGTAAGCCATTTCCATATCTACGACTTGAAATTTGGTAGCTTTAACAATGCCTTCTGCGAATGTAGTAAGTATTGCCTCTCCTTTGGTTACAACACTAGAGTTGTCAAATCCCGACAAAGTATGCGCCTTTGGAATTAATTTATCCTCCGCTTGCATCTGGCGCAATACTCATATTAAAATAATGTTTACAGAACTGCCTGGATCAACCAAAACTCGTTTCACGTTAGTGTCATGTACAAGTAAAGATATTACCAGTGCATCGTTATGTGGAGTTATGAGTCCCTCGGCGTCTGCGTTGTTAAATATAACATTCTTCTCTTCCAGTACATGTCGAGGCCGCTTCCCGTGGATAATTGTTACTTATGAAACCTTTTTATATGATACATCGTTGATCTCTTCACCCCCACTTATAACGCTGACAGTTCTCTTGGGCGAAGGTGGTTTTGGAGGCTCCTGCCTGTTCTTCATGTATGCTTGTTTACCTTTCTCACTGAATAACTCAGTACGATACCCCTGTTTTAACAAATGATCAACTTCACCTTGCAGAAACCTGCAATCTGCTGTTTTATGCCCGTGATCGTTATGAAATTCGCACCAATGATCAGGGTTTTGTCTGTTCGGATTCGATCGCATTTCCTTTGGCCATCGTACCTTATCTCCCATGCTTCTTAAAACAACCACGAGTTCAGAGGTGCTTACGTTGAAGTTGTAACCACCGAACCTTGCCTTTAGACTTCCATCATCGTCTCGTGACCCGCGTGTGTTCCGATCATTTTCGAACCTCGATGAGGAGCCTGACTCCTTATTTCTATGTTTGTGATCGTACCTTTTATTATCTTGCCTTGATCGTGAGTCTTTCCCCGCAGGTCCCATGTATGGCTCGTACCTGTTTTTACCGGATCTCTTTTCATTTTCCACACGCCTTGAGCTTACCTTTTCTTCTGTTTTATGTCGTAAAATAATGTCTTCTTCAATCCTCATCTTTGTACTGTATCTGTTGTAGACATCATTCCACGTTGTTGCTGGGAATTCTCGAAGGCTTTCTTTGAGTCGCCTTGTGGCTTCTGAACTCTTCTCATTCAAATTACTAGCAAAGGCTATGGCTGCCCAATTGTCAGGTACTCGTGGCAGCGTCATTCTTTCCCGTTGAAATCTATCTACGAACTCTCTAAGCAACTCTGAGTCTCCTTGCTTGATTTTGAAGATGTCTTCCATTCGCTTTTCAACATTTTGAGCTCCCGAGTGTGCTTTGATAAATAAATCTGCAAGCTCAGCAAACGAATTTATAGAATTTTCAGGTAAAAGAGAATACCATGTTAAGGCCCCTTTAGTGAGTGTTTCACCGAATTTCTTGACCAAGACCGACTCAATCTCTTGCTTAGTCAAATCATTGCCCTTGACACCTGTTGTGAATGCAGTAACGTGATCTCGTGGATCTGATGTACCATCATACTTTGGAATATCAGGCATCATAAACTTCTTTGGAATTGGGAGGGGGGCAACACTTGGCTTCCATGGTTGTTGGAAATATTTATCTATATCTACTCCCTTGATCACGGGCGGTACTCCAGGTATTTGTTCTATGCGTTCGTTTTGCTCCTTAAGCTGTTTCTGCAAGGTTAGTACTAGATTTTGTAAATCAGAATTAACTGGATTACCTGAGTCTCCCTTTTGTGTTTCACTAGGCGTTCCACCACTGCCTGAATTAATCAACCCAGAACGAGGATTCTCCAAAGTATTGTTGTTTGAAATAGATGTGGGTGGAGCAACATGTAATTGGCTAACAAAAGCCTGAAGTGCTTTATTGACTTGAGAGGCAATAAGTTTTTGCAAAGCCTCATTCATGGTTTCAACATTTTCAAATTGAGCATGTCCATCTGTGTGAGATCCATCAGGAGTGCCTTCACGAGACCGTCGTGGGGAACCTCGTGGAGAGCCTTATGGTGAGCCTCGTGGAGAGTCTCCCTGAAATTGCTGGATTGTTTGAATTTCTGGGTTTCCTTGAGTGTTGTCATTGTTGTTTGACATGATTGATGCAATCAAGAAAATCAAATTGATATATAATTGATTATCAGATTCCCGGTAACGGAACCAATTTGTTTAACCAAAAAATAGATTTTTAGTCAAAGCTAGAAATTAGAAGAATCGGGTTACTGAATCGGAAAAGTAAATAAAGAAAGAAATTTTAGAATAGCCAAGTATGAAAGTTGGTAAATCAGAGTATATCTCAATAGTCGTTTGTCCTCCAGTGGTTACATATTTCTCCTTTTATAGGTCCCTTTGGGAATCTTTGGAGATGCACGTTATGCCTAAGCCATAATGAGACTATTATGAGTAATTAATAATATTAAATGCTACGTTACATAATCATTACATTGAATGTATATATTTCTTAAAGGCCCCAGCATTTAATACCCTTCAAATGCCGCATTTGCATCTTTTTCTTTAACCAGATTCATCCGTCTCATTGTTCGTATGTAAATAAGCTTAAACAGGAACGAGGCACTGAATCTCTCGTCTCGTACCTCTTTTTACCCGTACCTGTTTGTAACTCTTGAACCGTGGCAAATCACAACTCATTATCCATTCCACGTGTCAGGACACGTCATCATGTATATATGAATATAAATTTTCCCCAATACAACTATCAAATCATCTAAAATGACAATTACAGGTAACCGTCACAATAAGTGAGATAGCAACCCGAAAAATAATTACTAAGGCAGATTACCGCTAAAGATTAAAATACAGTGATAGTGTAAAGTTTTTTAGACAAGTATTGTACTCTTAACGACTTAAAATCGACGTTAACCCCTACTCCTAATAGTTTGATGTTGCAAGGACCAAAGAGTTGAATGTTTGTGCCCCTAATTTGTCCATCTCTACGTAAATGTTAAAGAGAAATCTTGAGAATCTTAGCTAAGGGACCTCTTGGTCACGAGTGTGAATTCTCCTTTATCTTGGGAGGATTTGGCCACATGCCCATTCACATGTGTAGAACTGATTGTCAGTTGGTTCCAAATATGAAGTTAGACGTAGTAACTGTTTTGTAATTGGGACCGCTTCGACATGTGGACATGTTCATTCTTGTCAAGACTCCAAACTAAGTTCTTTACTCTTATTGCACGTGATAGAGGTGTGTTCGTTTCAGAACATATTTATGCTTTCATAACTACTGGCCACCCAATTGCTTTGCCCCAATCTTGAAGTCAAACCCCACCTAACCCCCCCAACATCCCAACAACACAAGTTCGGGAGAAAATGTTACTCGAATCCGATATTTACATTAAGTAAATGAATTGAAGATATTTTTACTTACTTTGGTTAATCAATATGGAGTACATTTTTACTTTAACTTTGTGACTATTATAGTTAAATTGTTTGATTTGGTGTACACTGGATATGAGTGAGTACCTGGTCCCTCGATCTTATATACAGGGGCGTACGCAGAATTTCTCGTAAGCATTGTCGATATTTAAAGAAATAGATAAACAATCCAATATAATGATATCATTTACTAAAAAAATACAGTTCAAATCATATTAATAAAGTACATTACTATAACTCTCCTCGGTGAGTGTTTATTTACTCTTTTGGAATGGACTTATAATATTCCAATTGAAAATAGTAATTAATACTTCTTTTTGTAGGTAAGAACCAAAGATAATCACTAAAAGACTATTCATTTGTTTTTTATATCAATTTCATCGCCAAAAAAAGAAGAAAAAAAAAATGATAGCAAGATAACTTACAATAGAAATAGTTGCAAGCAACACACAAAATCCCCAAAATTGCAAATTGCAGTGATTGTTTTTGTTGGGGTCTTAAATTTGATGAAATAATTACATTCATCAATAATTCTTTGCTTTTGTTCGACACTTAGACCCTAGACCAACAACCAACAATGCTCCGCCCCTGCTTATATGTATTATCTTTCAATAAGGTGGTGCTAATCTTTCTTTGTGTTTCATTTGTCTCATGTCTAAGAAGAAAAATGGTAAAGTCGTTGTCAAGTGATCAGGAGTTCATAGGTTCAAGTCATAAAAACAATGTCTTACAGAAATGCAGGATAAGGTTACGCATAATAGACCTTTGTAGTTCCACTTTTCCCCAAACCCTATGCATAGCAAGAGCTTAGTGCACCATCTAAGAAGAAAAACGACTTCAAAGTAATGCTGACAGTGTTAGATGTAGTAGAGCTTTGGTAGTAGATGAAAGGAAAATCGTCAGTTTAAAGTTTCTGAATTCGTTTCTGTTTATTGGTGATGGTAAATTTGTATGTGATTAGGATCTGAGCAAGCGTTGGTGAGTTGATGAATTTCTTATGTTGCAGCCATACGATGTTCTTCTGAGTTCAGGTGTAAGTATAGAAGAGTGACAAGATATTAAATATAGTAGGAAACAGAACCAAACTACCCAAAGGGCAGAAGGTCCCCACATAATTCATTCATGTTTCCATATCAAGCAACATTACATTACATGTGCATTCATTTGGTCCTATCCTCAGTTAAAAACCAGAGAAAAGAACCCCCCCCCCCCCAAATAATATTTAACATAGCACCACACACTTATTACACCCAAACAAAAGAAAAGCGCTCACTCTCCTTTGGAGAGGGCTACTAGCAGTTACACACAACAACAACAAGAAAAAGTAGGAAAAGAAAAAAGGAAAGAGCCTTGGATACTTTTCCTTTTTAAGAAAAGCTACTTGTATATTAATTCTTCTTCAGTAAAATTAGAAGAAGTTAAGGCGAGAGGTGTAAGTGGCTTTAGGAGACCAATTCCCTGGAATAACATCTCTAGCTGAGAGGGCTTTTCCAGTTGACAGTGTTGTTAACTTAACTGAAAATGGTCCTTGCAATGGTCCTCCAATTATGCACCAATTTGCTCCCCATATATGCGTCATCTCTAACCATATATTCGACTTCGCCTGAAAAATTAGCAAATTCTTGTCTCTCTCATGATAAAGGAAAAAGAATCTACCCTTCATAAAAGAAGACATTTTTAATTGTATTTGGTTGAAAAGAGGGCCGAGGGTCACAAGGTAACTTTTGTAAAACAGTGATAAAAAGAAAAGCATGTGGAAACACTTTGGACAACCAAGTCAAGATGGAGAGGAACTTTTCATACACAAAAAGGAGAAACACTATATATTCTTGGTAAAACATTGGTGTGATTGTGGCAGAGAGAGTATCAAATGTAGGCCAAATGAATCTTTCATAATGTCAAACAAAGATTTTGCTTTGTCTGCTATTCTTAAAGTTCGCTTAAAGCTCCGATATATTCGAATTTGTCTAATAATATGTTTAGATTTCTTGTAAATTGTAAAGAGTCTTCTAAAGCAGAGGTTAAAAAATCTCAGAGGTCCTTTTTGATAACTGTGAAAGTGTAGACCATAACATGTTCCCTCATCCTTTATATTAGTATATACTCCAAAGCTTCTTTTGACTAGGAAGCTTTCAGTCTTCAGTTTGACCAATTAAATAAAGAGCTTAAGCTATACACAAGTTGTTATTTTGTAGTGTAAATACTTTTTACATTGTAAGTGTATATTGGGCAGAGCCAAGGAAAAGTTACCGATTCATTTGAACCAATAGTTTTGGCTTGGACCCTATATATGTATTAATAATCCGACTAAGTGCAAACAACGTATTTTGAACCCAGTAAATTAAATGTGAAGTGGTGCAATTTCGAAGTTGAACCCATAAATTATAAATTCTTGCTTCGCCTCTCCGTGTATATAAATATAAGCGGAGACATAAGATATGTACCTCTCTAATATGCATGGATCCAACATCACCATCTCCATCCTCAAATTCCACAAGAAGAGAAAGCCAGTAAGGTGTTGACCCTTCATTTACATGGAAGGCTATGTTCTTTCCAGGGTACTTACATGGAGTTCTACACCCACAAATTCAATAATATTAGTGCCCATCATCTATTAAAGTGTAAAAAAGCTACTACTTAATAAATTACTGGGAGGAAAAGAGAATAATATTAGTCCTCCAAAGAGAAGATTAATAAAAATCTCTAGAAAGGCAACCACAAAGATGGTGAAATAAATATGGTCAGAGGAAAAGTAGGTCAGCAGTCAGACTCCAAATTCATGCAAACCAAGGAAGTAGCAGTGAAGTTTTTGACCAAAAAGGATATAAAACATACAGAAACTATACACAAGAAAACAGAATATAATTCACTTTTTCGTGTGTGAATGTGCGCAAATAACTAAGCAGCATTTAATCAATACTAAAATATATCATCAGCAAATAAAAAATGACCAAAAAAGATACAGAAATAACCCCAACTCAGGGGTGTCATTGTCAACAAAAATAGTACTACTCTGCCTTGTCAAAAACTTTATGACATATAGTACATTAATTAACAAACCACTAACCACTACTTGACAAAATAGAAAGAAAAAAAAACAAGACCGTTATAACAAGAATAAAAAATGACAAAAGTTCCTTACCGGCGGTAAATGACGGAGATAACACCACGGTCACGGAGGCTACCGCCGTAACCGGAAACAGCCATGTGGCCAAAGGCGGCGCCACTAAGGTCGAAGTGAACTCTGCCGCCGGAGCAGTACCCACCTGGACATTCGTCGGTAATAATCACCGTCGCAGCTCTTCTTGAACAAACGGAACGGTCCAAACACTTAACTTTATAACAGGCCCCACATCCTTCACCATTTTTGAACAAAATTGGACTCACTGCCCCTACTCTTGCCCTGAACGGCCTCACATCCACCATATTTCCGTACCCACATGCCCCACCTGACCAAAAAATTCCACCATTCAAAATCAAATTAATTAGCATACAAAAAGGAAGGGGGCCAGAAGGTTGTTCGAGCCGTGGAAACATGCCTCTTGCAAAAAAGCAGAGTAATTGTGTACAGTAGACGATTTGCTTAATGCACGGGTTGCTTTTTTTTAGTTAGCATACTAAAAGAAAAATTGATAACTTTGACTCAATTTCTTTTGAAAATATTCATACATAAAGAGTAACGAGTCTTTCAGTACATTTATATCAAATCAAACAACATAACCTTAACGTTTACAATTTAAAATGAAAATACATATCACTTAACCATAATTAAGTAAAAAATTTACCGGTACTGCCGTCGCCTTCGGGGCTGCCGTACCAAGTGGCAGTAGCAGGATACCAATGTGTGTCCTCAACACGACGGAGAGGGCCAGCAGAAGCAATGACTGCCCAAAAAAACACAACCCCAGAAACCACAGAGTAAAAACTAGTGAAACTAAAATTTGGGCAGTGAGTTTCCATAATGTAACTAAGTGAAATGTGGGTCAGTACTATAACTATAACTACCTCAAATCCTCAGTTTCCGGCTAGCGGAGAAACCGAGGTTAGTGTGTAAACAAGAAAAAAAAGCAAGAAATGGGGAAAGTTGTCTCTGCCGACAGTATTCTTAGACTGTGGTTACAGTGTTAGTGACTTTAGGACTAAGGTGTACATGTAGTGTAGTCTAGTGTTGCTTTGGGGAGTGGAGAGTGTTGTTATTTTTATAAGGTGGGAAAATACCAAAATGTTAATGTAAGTAACTTTTTTATGTCAATATGACCCATTGTTGGTTATTATATCAACGATAGTGCCACTACTTTAATAGAGTGGCCCACCGACGGTTAAGGCGTTAAATCAGCAAGCTTCGACTTGTCTTATTAGAATCAACTGTCAGTGCTCGAGGGTATAATGGGTATTTAAGAAAAACTAAGAATAGATCATTCTGCCGTTAATCTTGTTTGGTTATTGGGTTTTGAGCTGATTTTGAGTCTTTCATTTTCCTCTCAACATGTGCAGTCGTAGCTTGGTGTGAAGGGTTTTGGCAGCTTTTGCTGACCATCTTCTTCCAGAATTTTACAACAACAACTACCCAGTATAGTCCCACAAGGTGGGGTCTGGGGAGGGTAATACGTACACAGGCCTTACCCCTACCCGAAAGGGCAGAGAGGCTGTTTCCAATCGACCCTCGGCTCAGGAAAAGGAAAAGGAAAACAAAAACAAAAAACAAAAAGCAAAAGAGCATTAGTAACTCCAGCAGAAATCACATAAATAATTACCTAAACATAAACCATAAATAAAATGGCATGCAAATATATCGACCAGTAACTACCATAAGGGGGCACAATACAATACACAGATCATCTATGGAGAGCCCTACCAAACCCCTACCCCCCCCCCCCAGCCCCGGTACAGAAGTACGAAAAATTCTAGACGCCCCTATCCTGCAATCCTGATACTAGACCTCCAGACTTTCCTATCCAGGGCCATGTCCTCGAAAATCCGCATTCTAGCTATGTCCTGCCTAATCACCTCTCCCCAATACCTCTTGGGCCTCCCTCTGCCTCGACTCGCGCCAACCACCGCCAGCCGCTCACAACTCCTCACCGGGGCATCGGGGCTTCTCCTCCGCACATGCCCGTACCACCTGAGCCTCGCTTCCCGCATCTTCTCATCTACTGGGGCCACCCCCACCTTCTCCCGAATAACTTCATTCCTAATCCTATCTAACCTGGTGAGCCCGCACATCCACCTGAGCATCCTCATCTCCGCAACCTTCATTCTCTGGACATGGGAGTTCTTCACCGGCCAGCACTCAGCCTCATACAACATGGCAGGTCTAACCACAACTCTATAAAACTTCCCCTTGAGTTTCTGTGGCACTTTCTTGTCACACAAGACTCCTGATGCAAGCCTCCATTTCGACCACCCCGCCCCTATACGGTGAGTGACATCCCCGTCCATCTCTCCGTCCCCCTGAATCACCGACCCAAGAAATCTGAAACTGTCCCTCTTGGCGATGACCTGAGATCCAAGCTTGACGTCCCTGCCTACTTCGCTCGGCTCGGCGCTAAACTTGCACTCCAAGTACTCTGTCTTAGCCCTGCTTAGTTTGAAACCCTTGGACTCGAGAGTCTGCCTCCAAACCTCCAACCTCTCGTTAACACCGACCCTCGTCTCGTCTATCAGGACTATGTCATCAGCAAATAGCATACACCATGGCACATCCCCTTGAATATGGCGTGTTATAGCATCCATCACCAAAGCAAATATGAGAGGGCTAAGTGCAGATCCTTGATGAAGCCCCATTACCACCGGGAAATGGTCTGAGTCGCCACCCACCGTCCTAACCCTAGTCTTAGCTCCATCGTACATGTCCTTGATCACTCTGATGTAGGCTTCCGGCACACTCTTCGCCTCCAGACACCTCCATAGCACCTCCCTTGGGACCTTGTCGTACGCCTTTTACGAAGAGTTAATTTCTTTATTAAATCAAAACAACTTTTTTATTTATTGAGAGAGGATTAGACCAAGACTCAAAAGAGAGAGTATACCCTCATAGGCGTATGTACTGTGATAGTATTGGGTTCATTTGAACCACTTCAAAAATATACTAAAATTGCAATACATAGTGAGTCTGAACCCGTAACTTTATAAATATAATAGGTTTAATACTAAAAATCTTAAAGATTGAACCCACTGTGAAATTGCCAAATTAACTGTTAGTTAGTGACTAGGACTAATGTGGAAATAGTGAAAATTAGGGGTGTTATTTGGTGGTATTTGAAGTAATAACCAACTCAGTCAATAAAATGACTAAGTCGGTTATTACTGTGCTCAACCGAAATTAAGAGAGCTAAGAGCTCATTTTCTTCTCTCTTCTCTTTCTTCTATGAATTCAAAGATCTGTTGCTGAATTGTCCTTGCATGTTGTAATTCAGTCATTGTTCGATTAATTCAGTGCAAATTAACATGGTATCAGAGCGGTTATCGATCGATTAGTGTTGCCGTCTCGCAGATCTGAGAACAGTTATTTTCAGAGCTTGAGAAGGTACAACATTGGCGGACGATGAAATTGCTAAGCTTCCTCACAATCATCCACTATACCTGAAGGATTCAGATTCACCGGGAACAACTTTAATAGCTCTCAAACTCACATGGCCAGAAAATTATGCCCTGTGGAGTAGATCTTTGAGAGTAGCTTTCCTTGTGAAGAACAAATTAGGTTTTGTAGATGGAACTTGTCAGAAAACTTCGTACAAAGGAGAGTTAGAAGCGCAATGGGAGAGATGCAACGCAGTGGTCGTCTCATGGCTCAGCAGCACTGTAGCGGCAGAATTGGTGCCGAGCATCATGTACGCTTCAAATGCGAGGAAGATCTGGGACGAGTTCAAGGAAAGGTTTGACAAAGATGATCTAACTAGAATCTATCAAATTTCTGCTGACATTGCGGCTCAAAAGTAAGGTACAGATTCTGTGACCTCTTATTTCTCAAAGCTGAAAGATCTATGGAATGAGTTAGATATCTTAGCACATTTACCCTCATGTGATTGTGAGGAATCACGTCCATATGTAGATCACCTGGTGAGACAAAGGCTTTTACAATTTTTAATGGGATTAAACGAGAGTTACAGTCATGTGAGGAGCGCAGTGTTACTAAAAAGGCCAATTCTTACTGTGAATCAAGCCTATGCTGTTGTGGTGCAAGAAGAAAGTCAGAGGGAATTAGGAGTAATCGAGTCAAATAGGGAGCCAATGATAATGTTAGCAGGAAAAGGAAATCAATTCATGAAAGGGAAGAAAGTAGGTATAATCTGTGAGCACTGTGGATACAAAGGGCATTTGAAGGAGAATTGCTACAAAATAATTGGATACCCTGCAGATTTCAAAAGTAAAAAAGAAGAGTCAGTTTCATACAAAAACATATGCTAACAATGTCAATGGTGAGAAAGAAGTAACAATGAATGAACAGCCACAAGGAAATCACATGACTGAAGATCAGTACAAGCACCTAGTGAACCTGTTGACAAAATCATCCACAGAAGGAAACTCCAACAACACTTCAAGTTCAGCAAATATGACAGGTATAAAGTCACCGCTACCTAATGCAAAATCATATGATTGGATAGTAGATTCAGGGGCATCACACCATATCACCTTTTGTAAGGAAGTTTTAGAAAAATTAAGGAGAATCAACAAAGAAAATAATAGAGGAGTTCAAATACCCACAGGAGGTAGATCAGAAATAGTACACACAGGTGACGCAACAATACTAGGAGGGCAGAAGATTAGAAATGTCCTACATGTACCTGACTTCAAATTCAATCTCTTATCAGTATCTAAGTTGACCAGAGATTTGTGTTGTTCAGCCTGTTTCTACCCTGGTTTTTGTGTGCTTCAGGGGCTTTACAATGGCAGGGTATTGGGGATTGGTAAAGAAGATGAAGGCTTGTACATAATCAGAAGTGAAGAAGATGACATAGTAGCTGGATCAGTCAAGAAGGAAGAGATAAGTGCAGAGTTATGGCATCAAAGAATGGGACATGCTTCTATAGGTTCAATGCAGTGCTTACCAGATTTGAAGAATAAAGTAAATAAAGATGTGCAGATGTCCTGTGAAATTTGCCCATTGGCTAAGCAAAGTAGACTAAGTTTTCCTATTAGTAGTCACAAATCTGATCATATTTTTTAGCTTATACATGTAGATGTCTGGGGACCATACAAAACTGCAACTTATGACAAAAGGCAATACTTTGTAACCATAGTAGATGACTATAGCAAATACACTTGGATTTGTTTGCTGCATTCTAAATGTGAAGTAATAATGGTACTGAAAGATTTCTTTTCTCTTGTGAAGAATCAGTTTAATTCTTCCATAAAAGTGTTGAGATCTGACAATGGTAGAGAATTTTTCAATGAAAACTGCAATGAATTACTTGCATCCTTAGGAATAGTTCATCAGAGTAGTTGCCCCTACACTCCACAACAAAATGGGGTGGTAGAGAGGAAACATAGACACATATTGGAGGTGGCAAGATCATTGAAATTTCAAAGCAACATACCTGCTAGACTTTGGGGGGCCTATGTGAAAACTGCAGTCTACTTAATCAATAAGTTGCCCACAACAGTGCTGAGTGGAAAATCACCTTATGAAAGATTTTATGGGAAAACACCAAAGATAAATCACCTTAGAGTATTTGGATGCTTATGTTATGCTAGTACACTGCCAAGAGGGGACAAATTTGCAGCAAGAGCTTTGAAATCAATGTTCATTGGATACTCTGAAGTGCAGAAAGGGTAAAGCTATATGACTTGGAGTTAAATAAGTTCTTGGTAAGAAGGGATGTAAGTTTCAGAGAATACATATTCCTTTTTAAGAACTTACCCTGGCAACCTGAGAGCTTATTCATCCCTGATACTGATCCAACAACAGCCACACAAGATCAGCCTGCCTTAACACTTATGGTTGATGATGATCTGGGAATAGCAATTGAAGCTGAGATAGATACTTCACCAAATATGTCACTGAATGAGACAACTAATGACATGGAGGTACTGAGTTCAGATGAGAGGGATGGGCAAAGTACCTCACAACAACTAGAACATACAGAGGAGGTACTTGATCAAGTGCCATCAATTGTGCAACAACCTACAGAGACTAGGAAATCTACAAGAACACAAAGACCAGCAGTGTGGCTCAAGGATTATGTGACTACTTGCAAACCAAGAGGAGA